GTTGCGTTTGGGCTACAGAAAATGCAGAACTTACTTATGGGGCCGTATACATTACATTACGGATCACAGATCCCTGAGAACATTATTGACATCAAAGGGGTTGGGAATCGAATTGTAGTTGTTAACACATTTTTGTCCTTTACTTCTGAAACGGAGTATAAGGCAGGAATATAAAAACTGACAGCTGATTGTTTGGATTGTTTACCCTTGCTGTCTGCAGGAGGGAGAGCCAGAAGAGGAGGTAGAAGTTTGTTGCACTCCTTTCTGGTATTTTTGTTGCCATTATGCAGGAGAAATTTCAAGCCACATGCTCAGGATATCCAGTCCAGCAAAAATAAGGGGGTTCTTGAGAGCCAGTTTGATGTCGTGGTTAAGTGCAGGCGGACTCTAATCTGGGAGAACTGGGTTTGATTCCCCACTCCTCCACTTGCACCTGGCTGGATGACCTTGAGCAAGCCATAGTTCTGACAAGAGCTGTCCTTGAAAAAGAGCGGTTTCTGTCAGAGCTCTCTCAGCCCCACTGACCTCACAGGGTGTCTGTTGTGGGGAGGGGAAGGGAAAGGAGTTTGGAAGCTGCTCTGAGACACCTTTGGGTAGTGAAGGGCCATGGGGTATAAATCCAATCTCCTCTTCTTCTTGATGAAGAAGTGGCCTAATAATGTAAAGGGACTTGTTCAGTGTTGTTGCCGTATTTAAAATGTGTGATGAACTTCCATTTAAAAATTGTTGGATTTTACGGGGTTCACATCGAATACTTGTTCCAGAAGAACTGCAGCTTACATTTATATATTTTGCCCATGATACACATCAAAGAATTGTATGGGCGAAACAACAATTGCAGGGTCTGTATCGGTGGCCCAGGACAGATTCTCAAGCGGAAGCTGCTAAAGCTTGTGCTACTTGTCAGTCACATGATAAAACAGCCGTAACACACCCAGTGTGCACCATTACGTCTTTCCCCATCCCCACATTCCAAGTGGGAAGTTTGCAACTGATATTATGGGACGTTTTGATACTGCTGTCATTGATTGTCATGTTATTGCTATAATAGACTATGGCGGAGCCGGCCTCCGTCATCTGGTGGGCCCCACTCTGCCCACCCCTCCTTTGCCTGACCAGGCACCTGAAGGGGCCGTTTTACTTTACTGCCTCCGGGTATTGCTGCCCCCACTGTCCCTGTCTTGGGCTCTGGTTAGGGGGGGCAGCCTCCTACCCCCCCCCGCGTCCCCAGGAGCCTTCCTCGGGGCTTCCCAGGGATCTTTGGGGCTCCCCTGGATAGTTGCCAACTGGCCATTTGCCAATTTTCTCCTCCCTAGGGATCCCCCGACCCACTCCTAGGGTTTCCAAGCAGCTGGGGGGGACTGTGTGGTACAGAGAGACTTCACTCCTTCAACAATCAAAGGATTTATTTTAAACTCTCAGTATACATACAGGCACATCAAAAATGAAATGAAGAAACACAGTAATGTTGACACAAACGCTTCATCTCTCTCCCCCCTCCAAACTCATGCCCTGTCTGGGTGATGTGCAGGGCAGGCGCATTACTTCGTTACTCCGGGGCAACCTGGACAGACATGTCTCCCAAAATAGCCTCCGTCTCTGGTCTGGGAAGAGCAGGGCTAGGCCTGCCTCTGTCTCTTGCAAGCTCCAACCCACCCACCCACTGACTGGCTTCCCGGCCCAAAACTCAACATTATAAACAGCTGTTCCCACCACCCAGGAACTGGCTCTCCCTCCTGCAGCATTCTGGGATAGATCCCCTCATAACCTTGAGGGATCTCCTGTCCTCTCGATGGAGCTGCCCTTACAGGATGGCAGGGGGGGGGGATAAGGAGGAGGGTAGTCCCAGGCCTACCTCAAGCCTGATGGTCTCCTCCCATCCAGCCCACAGAAAGTTAAATCCACACACAAAATGGTCTTTCTCCACATAGAATATATTAGTAAGCGGCCAGAAATAACACTTATATCACAAACCACTTCTGCTGCTGTGATTTAAGTGTTTGCCCATAGATTTTGGCAGAGGAGGGGATTCTAAAGAATTAATCTCTGATAATGGTGCCACGTTTACTTCTCTGGAATCTGAAACTTTTGTTACGGAATGAAACATCATACATAGAAGGTCATCTGTGTATCACCCACATGCTGATGGAGAAATTGAATGATTTAATAAGGAGAACATAAGAACATAAGAGATGCCAATGTTGGATCAGGCCAAAGGCCCATCCAGTCCAACACTCTGTATCACACAGTGGCCAGAAATACCAGTGCCATCAGGAGGTCCACCAGTGGGGCCAGGACATTAGAAGCCCTCCTACTGTTGACCCCCCCCCCAAGCACCAAGATGACAGAGCATCACTTGCCCCAGAGCCCCTATCTATACCTTGTGGCTAATAGCCACTGATGGACCTCTGCTCCATATGCCTATCTAATTCCCTTTTGAAGCCGTCCATGCTTGTAGCCTCCACCACTTCCTGTGGCAGTGAATTCCATGTGTTAATCACTCTTTGGGTGAAGAAGTACTTCCTTTTATCTGTTCTAACCCGACCGCTCAGCAATTTCATGGAGTGCCCACGAGTTCTTGTATTGTGAGAAAGGGAGAAAAGTACCTCTCTCTCTACCTGCTCTATCCCATGCATAACCTTATAAACCTCGATCATGTCACCCCTCAGTCGTCGTTTCTCCAAGCTAAAGAGCCCCAAGCGCCTTAACCTTTCTTCATAGGGAAAGTGTTCCAACCCTTTTATCATTCGAGTAGCCCTTTTCTGCACTTTTTCCAAAGCTATGATATCTTTTTTAAGGTGTGGTGACCAGAACTGCACACAGTATTCCAAATGAGGTAGCACCATTGATTTATATAGGGGCATGATGATATTGGCTGATCTGTTTTCAATACCCTTCCTAATAATCCCCAGCATAGCATTGGCCGTTTTTGCGGAGGTTTGCAGGTGGCTCAGTTGGAAGGGAAGGCATGGGACTACTTCTGTTACTGACTTTTTGCAAGCAAGAGCAACACGACGTGCTACGACACAAAGATCACTGGCAGAATTATTACATGAGAGAGAGAGATGCGTATTAAATTAAATGTTACTATACTTCTGAGGGCCAAGTCCGATGTAGGATCAGACTTAAGTGAGAGGGAGAGAGTGGTTCAAAAGCAAAAGAGGCAGAAGGCTTATACAGAGAAGCATGGGGTGCCTAAGGATGTCTACTTTCAACGTGGTTCTTTTGTTACTGTGGAGAAGAAAGGACCGTATACTTATAGATTGTCTGATGGGCATGTATGGAATGCTTCCCAGTTGGTACCAGCTTGTTCCAGGTGGAATGAAATTGATTCTGATTCAGACGGTTGCCTTTTGTCACCAGTATTTCAAAATGAGTTTGGGCCTGGTCAAGATGGGGTTCATCCAGGCCTTCTGTCAGCACCTCAAGAGAACGTTACTGTCGTCATCATCATCTCGAGATACACTTTCTGTATTAGTGGTTGAGAAAAGAGATGTAAGAATTAGACGACCGCCTGTTTGACTAAAGACTGTGTTATGTAATGGTGTGTGATCAATTCATTATAATTGTTGATTTTTTGGTACTCGTATAAGTAAAATGTATATCTCGTGAAATATCGTGGTTTAAGAGAGGAGGAAACAAGGTGTTTAGATATGTCATTTTAAGAGAATCATAGAGTTGGAAGGGACCTCCAGGGTCATCTAGTCCAACCCCCTGCACAGTACAGGAAATTCACAAATACCTCCCCCTCCACACCCGCAGTTACTGCTGTTCCATGCCAAGAAGTCGTTGCTTGGAATGGAAATGTGTATAAACCAGGGTGCGGGAAGAGGAGAGAAACGTGCAGATGTAGGCAGGTGTTTTGTTTTAAGCTGTTTTGTCTTGTTGGAGTTTCTTTACTTAAAGGGGTTCTTGAACTTGGAACAGAGGCTTCAAAATAAGGTCTTCATCAGTCCCTTTCTGCGTATTTCGTTTAGCCCCAAAACGTCTCTTGTCCCCTGCAGTGTGAGACGCCAAATAACGTTAGCCGAAGCAGAGTTTGTCATGTGTGTGAGCTCCTTTGTGGCCATGCTTCTATTCCTACAAATTATACTGTTTATTCTTCTGTGCATTTGCACACTTCTTAATGATATATTGAATGTTGTTTACAGTCCTACACATTTTTTTCTTTTCTTTTTTTTTTGCATATTGTGGGTTCAGGTGATATTTTTTGTAGTTTGCAGTACAGCCCTGGTCTTTGATATACCTTCTGGTACTTCCATGCTTTGTTTCTGTGTTCCCGGTGGGTGTCCTTTGTTTATAAAATAGAAACCAGCCCTTTGATGCGGGCCCAGAACAGTGGTGAGACTTTGAGGTCAGCAACAGTCTCCTGGGAGGCTGAAATCGTCTCCCGCCCTTCTGTTAACTATTTTCCCATTTTTGATGGTGGAGTTGTATCTGCCACACGTGCACACGCTGGAAGGTGCCTTCTCCGTATGAAGCCACCTTTTTATTTATTTATTTATTTATTTTATTATTTGCATTTATATCCTGCCCATCCTGCAGGTGGGCTCCGGGCGGGTAACATCATTGAAATAAATACAATTTCAGTTTAAAACATTAAAACACAATAAAACATTATAACAGCTAAAACAATGGGTACAGCTTAGAAGAGCATAAGTTGGCTATAAAATTCTGGCCTGATGGTACAATGAGCTAAAGGTCAGTTGTCGGTAGTCAGTAGACATATGACAGACGGGTGAGAGCAACCTCAGGGAGGCCGTAGACGGGGGCCGGCTGCCTGAACCAGAGGCCTGGCGGAAGAGCTCCGTCTTGCAGGCCCTGCGGAATTTTCAGAGTCAGACTGCTGGTTCTCCGGGGGGGGGAGGCTGGGCACAAAGGGGATTGCCAACAGAGCCGGGCGGGGCAGCACGGGAGGCCACACCCTCCCCTTTGGCCTGGCCTGATTTCCTCTCTGATCTGCTCCGTTGGTCATCCTTGGCTCTCCCTTCCTTGTTAAGATTCTCTGTCTGAGTCGATGAAGAAGCTCCGGGAGGAAGGACCGGTGGTCAAGGAGATCGGGGACCTCATGCTGTCCTGGGTAAACCTTCGAGGCGAACGGCAGGGGTGGCGTGTGTGTGTGTGTGTGTGTGTGTGGTGTTTCGGTGGCCTGGGAGCCTGAGGGTAGGGTCTCTGGGGGCTCATTGGGCCCAGTGGTGTTGCTTCTGGATGGTGAACTGGGTGGGGTGTGTGTCTCTCCTTCTTCTCCCCAGTTTGATGGGCCAGCACGGGAGGAGATCCAGCAGGTGGCCGCGGACTTCTGCGCGTACCAGTCGGCAGCCATTGAGCTGATCAAGACCAAGAAGCGGAAGGAGACCCGCTTCCAGCTATTCATGCAGGTATCCTCAGCGGCACCCTTGCGCGGGAGGGAGGGGAGGGAGGGGGGAGGTTCAGGGTGGGGGAGGACTCTGCAGCTAGAGAGGAGGAGGCTCGGGAGGAAGAAGGGTTTTTTTAGGAAAAGGTAGGACTTTTCCCCACAAAACCTTTTCAAAAATGGAAAAATCGGACGTTTGGGCCTGCCCTGAAGAAGCTCCTATGTAGTACTTCCACATTTGGAACGAGTAAGATGCTTTTTAAGACACCACGCTTGCATCTTCTGGTAATTTCCGTGCAGAGAAGGAATTTCTATCAGAGAAGCACAACTTCCTTTGCCTCCCCCCCCCCAATGCTGCCTGAGACGCTGCTGCAGGGAGACAGGAAGCGCACGTGTGTGGGGGGGGATCTCGGGGCCCCACCCCCACTAAGTACCCTCTGTTTGATGCGGCTGCTGTACGGAAGAGGTCCAGTTGCTGTTCTGTCAGAGTAGCGGCCTTCCCACCAATCTTTCCAGCTTCAGCAGAACTCTCAGACTTAGAATCATAGAGTTGGAAGGTACCTCCAGGGTCATCTAGTCCAACCCCCCCTGCACAGGGCAGGAAATTCACAAATGCCTCCCCCCCTCCACACCCCCAGTGACCGCTGCTCCACGCCCAGAAGGCGACAAAAAAACCTCCAGGATCCCTTTATAGGCTACTAGTCCTGTTGTGACTATAGGAGACCATTTAAGTCTAAATATCACAGTTCCCTTTGCTACAGAATTCCCCCCCCCCCGATTTTTTTTTCTTCCCTACCTGTCAGATGACAAAAGCTAACATCTATGCTCTAAGAGAGTATAATGTATAGTTCCCTCTTAAGTGCTATTCTGCTTGTTTGTTTATTTATTTGTAGTATTTATTTATCCCGCCCTCCCCGCGAGCAGGCTCAGGGCGGCTTTCATTACTTGGCACAATGTACTAAGTGCCTATAAAACAATTAAAAACCAATTAAAACAGTCAAACCAGTGTTGGATCCCCAAGCATCGAGAATAAATCCACGTTTCAAAGAAAGCAAAGTTTATTTCAAAGCATTGGAAAGATACTCAAACACGTTCCTTGTTAGAACTGGGTACAAGCAGTTAGGGCAGACATGATAAAGGGATTCAAGTTAGATACATAACCAATGGATAACGTTCCCGCTGGCGGGCAGGAACATAAGAACATAAGAACATAAGAGATGCCAATGTTGGATCAGGCCAAAGGCCCATCCAGTCCAACACTCTGTATCCCACAGTGGCCAGAAATACCAGTGCCATCAGGAGGTCCACCAGTGGGGCCAGGACATTAGAAGCCCTCCCACTGTTGACCCCCCCCAAGCACCAAGATGACAGAGCATCACTTGCCCCAGAGTCCCTATCTATACCTTGTGGCTAATAGCCACTGATGGACCTCTGCTCCATATGCTTATCTAATTCCCTTTTGAAGCCGTCCATGCTTGTAGCTGCCACCACTTCCTGTGGCAATGAATTCCAAGTGTTAATCACTCTTTGGGTGAAGAAGTACTTCCTTTTATCCGTTCTAACCCGACCGCTCAGCAATTTCATGGAGTGCCCACGGGAGAAAACGGTTGCGCGCTCAGGTCCTGGGAACCAGGCGAACAGTAGACATAACACAGGTGCAGTTCTCAGGCTTGATAAATAACAAGCTAGCAGCGAAGCATACTCTCCCCCTCACATCCTCCAGTTGTTTTACTTTGGCATTACAGCAGGAAAACACAAAGGCCAGCTGGCAGGGACAGGGATCACATATGTACAAAAGTAGACATAACACAGGTGCAGTTCTCAGGCTTGATAAATAACAAGCTAGCAGCGAAGCATACTCTCCCCCTCACATCCTCCAGTTGTTTTACTTTGGCATTACAGCAGGAAAACACAAAGGCCAGCTGGCAGGGACAGGGATCACAATGGGCCGGAGTCCTCCCGGTTTGGCCGGGAACTTCCTGTGGAAACAACGAAGCAGGTAAGGGGCCCGAATATCCCCTTCGTCCACCCATTCGCGGTGCTGGGGACCGAAATCAACCCATTCAATGAGGTACCAGAGTTTACCACGTTTCAGCTTGGAATCAAGGACATCAGCGATTTCAAAATGCTCAT